CTCCCGTCTCCAGGCTCAGAGGGCAGCGCCCTGAGCAGGGACTGCACGCCGACCTGGGGGCCTGCTGAGGGGCAGGAGGGCGGGGCTCCTGGAATCAGCCCTGATCACCTGGCTGCCTGGTCCACCGACCTGGCGCTCCTTCTCAGGGCGCCTCTCGGGCCCAGACTCGCCCACCGGCCCAGCTCCGAGGGCCCTTCCAGCTGACCCAGCCCAACCCTCCTTTAACACGGGAAACCGCGGCCAGGAGGCGGAGCTTGCCTGGGGCCCCAGAGCCTGCGAAGAGTTGCAGAGCCCCCCCCCCTCCGCCCCCCAACGGCGAACGCCCTCTTCCTCTCTGAGCCGCGCTCACGTGCTCTGGGACTGGGTGTTGGGGACCGGGGCTTCCGTACCTGAGGGGCGGCCACCTTGTCAGCCGTGTGCTGCATGTGGGTCCTGCAGGGAGCAGGGCCACCGGCTGTAGCTCACGGGTCAGGAGTGTCCTCGTATTTGCCGGGGCCAAAGCCGGGCCAGGGCCCTGCCCTCGCCGTGCGTGTCCGCAGGAGGCCTGAGGCTGGCTCTGCCTCGGGGGTTACTCAGTCCGAGGGGCAGGGGCAGCTGCAAGCAGGCGAGGGCTGGCCTCCCCGGTCCTTCCAGGCCACAGACTCGGACTCTGTGGGGCTCGGCCGGGAGGGGCCTGGCCCTGCGTCCCGTCTCCTGGTGCTGGCACCTCAGACCTGCAGGGCCAGCCCAGCCCAGTTCCTCTGAGGCTCCCACCCCAGGCTCCCGGCCGTGCTGACCCCCCGGGGCCTTTCCCCAGGGAGGGCTGGAGACTGGGGCCCCCTTGGGGTGGGGGTGGGGGTGGGGGTGCAGGCGCTGACTCAGTGGGCCCGAGGGTCCTGGCGAGGCTCCCGACCTGCAGTCACCGTGTCCTCCTCTCCTGTCCCTCCTCTGCTCTCTGCTCCCCGTTCCATCTGTCTGTCCCTGTGGGCCTGCTGGCGCCCTCCGCCCTCCCCTGACCCTCGGCCATTCCTCCTGTTCCCTCATCGTTTTTGGCCTCTTGCTTCCTGCTGGTCTCCCTCTCTCCCCTCTCCTCTCCTCTCCCCTCTCCATGTCTCCTGCCCTCCTGTCTCCCTGCGGGGTCCCGCGCCCACCTCCACCCCTGCCCGCCTCAGGCACCTGGCGCAGCAGGAGACCAACCGCACCATCGCCACCAGCACCAGTGTGGTGAAGCGGCTGGCGGAGCTGCTGCGGGGCTGCTCCCGGGTATGTCCGGAGGCCGTGAGGGGCCGGCAGGCGGGCGGAGGCGTCTGCGGGTGGGAGTGAGGGAGGGCCAGGGGTGTGGGGCAGGTCTGCGTGCACGGCGCTCAGGCCTGGGCACAAAGTGCCAATGCCAAGAGCTCCGCTGCACTGGGAACCAGGCTGCGTATTAGGGTGTCCACGGTGATTGGGTGGTGAGTGTCCATGGTGATACTGGCTGTGCCTGGAGCCGAGCTGGGTGTGAGGTGCTGGGGTGAGGCGGTCTCTCTCTCTCTCTCTCTCTCTCTCTCTCTCTCTCTCTCTCTGCAGCAGGAGCGGCTTCAGCTGGATCGCCTGAAAGCTCAGCTCTCGGACGCCATTCAGCGCTACGGAGCGGTGCAGACGGTGAGGGCACTGGTGGCGCTGGTGCTGGCCGGTGGGGGCCTCGCTCCCTCGGGCACCCACGCTGGCCTTCTCAACTGGGTTGGGCTGGTGCGGCCCCGCCCCCACAGCAGAGGAAGGGCCATCCCTGTGGGGTGACCCCCGCGGGCAGGGAAGGATGGGGCCCTCGGGTGCCGCCCGGGAGATGTCCGCATGACGGCCTCCCAGGAGGTGGGAGCCAGGTGTCGCCCCTTGTGATGGTGGGGAACTAGGCCAGGGAGTCCTGTGCCCGGGCACGCTGTCCCACAGTCCTCGTCCTGGGCAGGGCGGCCACGTGCCCAGTTGTCCCGCGACCCTGGGGAGCGGCCGTGCTCTGCTGTCAGGCATCCCCCGGTGCTGCCTGCCTGTCTGACCGTCTCTCCTCTCCTCCTGCCTTTTCTGTTCTTCCCTCGTCCCCCTGCCGCGCTGCGCTGCTTCCAACAGACAATTGCGGAGAAGTCCCGAGCTCTGCTTCCCACGGCGCAGACGGGCCGGCAGCAGGTGGGTGCCGGGGACTCGCTGTGGCCGTGACGGAGGGGACCGGGGAAGAGCAGGAGGGGCTGAGGGCAGGGCCGTGTTCGCAGGGGTCGGCCTGGACAAGTGACCTTTAAAAAGTTGGCATTTGACAACCGGCCGGCGTGGCTCAGTGGTTGTTCGTCGGCCTATGAACAGGAGGTCACAGTACGAGGCCTGACCAGGGCACGTGCCCGGATTGTGGGCTCGATCCCCAGTGTGGGGCGTGCAGGAGGCAGCCGGTCCATGATTCTCTCTCATCGTGGATGTTTCTTTCTCTCCCTCTGCCTTCCTCTCTCTGAAATCAATAAAAACATCTAAAATAAAGTTGGTATTGGGCCTTGGGTCTGTGGCTGGGCCTGGTCTGGGGCAGTTGCTGGCAGTTCCACTCGCTGACTTGTATCAGCCCAACCCTCCCGTGCGTAGAAGCTGAAGGACAACCTGGAAAAGAGTGTCACGAGGCCTAGATGAGCGAGGGTGGGGGCGAGGGTGCGGGAAAGGAGCAGCGGCTGAAGGGGTGCCGGTTGAGAATGTTCCAGAAGTGTCCAAACGCTTCAGCTCTACGACGAGTAGGATAAATGTGTCCTGTCACAGCGTCATAAAGTTTTGAACAAGAAAGGCAAAAATAAAACCGTAAAAGCCGATTAAAGCCTCAGAAAGAAGTCACGTTATTTAAAGAGGAGCAGTAAGACTTACATCTGATTCTCGAGGAGCAGTGGGAAGACCCCTCCAAGCCTGAGGGAAGGTGCTTGCTGCGTCTTTCCCGCTGATGAAGCCCCAGCCACAAGGAAGACGGCTGGTGACCTTGACTTTGTTAAAGCCGACACACCCGCCCTGGCCAGTTTGGCTCAGTGGATAGAACTTCGGCCTGCGGAAGGAGCGGCTTCAGCTGGATCGCCTGAAAGCTCAGCTCTCGGACGCCATTCAGCGCTACGGAGCGGTGCAGACGGTGAGGGCACTGGTGGCGCTGGTGCTGGCCGGTGGGGGCCTCGCTCCCTCGGGCACCCACGCTGGCCTTCTCAACTGGGTTGGGCTGGTGCGGCCCCGCCCCCACAGCAGAGGAAGGGCCATCCCTAATATATATGTTAAAAAAAAAAGGCCAACACACCCTTAGGAGAGTGAAGAGGCAACCCGTAGAGTAAGCAGAGGTGTGTGCACGACTCAGACCTGAAAAGGACTTACAGCCGTCTGTGTAGATAAAAGGCTAAAATGCCAGGTGTCCCCTCGGGAGTTCGACCAGGAGACCGGGAGTTCAATCACTCACTGTGACGTGCTGACCACCAGGGGGCGGTGCGGAACGAAGGAAGGCCTTGGCCGGCAGCCAGAAGGAAGGCCTTAATCGGCCCTGATCACCGGCAGGCCTAGGGACCCTACCCGTGCACGAATTCCGTGCACCGGGCCTCTGGTAATATATGAAGGTCTCACAAATCAAGAACAAGGCAGACAGCTCCATTCAAGAACCAAAAAGGGCAAAGCCTTGGGCCGGCACATGGCAGGGGGCACGTGCTCTCAGCCTGTGTCCTGGAAGAGGGCAAAGTGGACCCCCATACCTCCTCGCACCCCCAAAATAACATCATGGGCAGTACCTCGTGGACGAAGCTGGGCGCTTGAAGTCTCACACCGTGTGGATGGGAGAGGAAGTGGTTGCCCGGGAACACTGGGACGCCTGTGCACTTCCTGGCGTGTCTTACTGTGACCGCAGCTCCTCCCCACTGCTCCCCCATGGAAGCCATGTCACACTCGGCAACCTGACACCCAGTTACGTTTCAGTAAAATTCTTTTTAAAGAAGAGAATAGTCAGTTGGTGCTTCTGAGAAATGAGGAAAGATGAGATGATTTTCAGGAATCACGTGAGCTGGCACAGCGAGGTGACCACCCTGCTCCACGCTGGTACACCGCCCCCCTCCTCGTGGGGCCCTGTCCCGGCTGGTGGTCCAGGCAGGAGCACTGGAGGGGTGACCTTCCCAGAGCCCCGAGGCCCTGTGCTCCTCACTGACCCTGGGGTGGGGTGTCCTCTGGGCCGCCTGGAATGACCCTCAGGGTTTCGTCTTTCTCACGGGAAAGGACCCTCCAGCCGTCCCGCGGGCTGTGCTCAAGGGGACCCGCACCCTTGGCCCTGGAGGGAGGAGAAAGCCGCCTTTGTTGACGCCTGGAGCTGGAAACGCATCACAGGGGCCCTCCGCCCGCCCTGGGCAGCGGCAGCAGCTCCCGATCCGCTGGAGCTGAGACCCAAATCGGGCCTTTGTGAGGAGAATAAGGGCGCTTTCTGGTCCCTTCAGGAAAGGGAAGGGCTGCGGGGTCTCGCTAAGCCCTCCCCCCTGGCCGTCTCCTGTCCTGAGCCCTTGTCCCTGGCCGTCTCCTGTCCTGAGCCCTCCCCCGTGGCTGTCTCCTGTCCTGAGCCCTCCCCCCATGACCCATCTCCTGTCCTGAGCCCTTGTCCCTGGCTGTCCTGTCCTGAGCCCTCCCCCCATGACCCATCTCCTGTCCTGAGCCCTCCCCGCTGGCTGTCTCCTGTCCTGAGCCCTCCCCCAATGACCCATCTCCTGTCCTGAGCCCTCCCCCCTGGCTGTCCTGTCCTGAGCCCTCCCCCCATGACCCATCTCCTGTCCTGAGCCCTCCCCCCTAGCCATCTCCTGTCCTGAGCCCTCCCCACTGGCCGTCTCCTGTCCTGAGTCGTCTCCCGGGCCTGTTTCTTGTCCTGAGCTGCGGGGAGGGCAGCGGTACCTGTGGATGGGCCAGTACGCGGGTCCCCAGCCCACATGTCTGCACAGTAGCTGGCGACCTTGCCCCGGGCGAGGGCCCCTGTCTCTGTAGGTGAGGATGGAGGCCCTGCCCGGTCCTCCTGGGGGGCCGAGCCGCAGGGAGGGAGGCCTGGGCAGGCCCGTGGGGCAGCCCCTCCCGGTGGGCAGTGGTCAGTGCTGCTTTGGCCAGGACGCTTGTCAGCAGAAGCTTTAGAGCTTTCACTTCATCCCATCTGCCCTGAGCTTATTGTCTAAAGGCCTCGGCGAGGAGGGTTAGTGGGACCCACCGCCCCACCCGCCCACCAGCTGCCCCTGTGCCTGAGAGCAGCCACCTGCGGGCGGGAG